CGCATCCTCTCCAGCACTTATTGTTGTTTGACTTCCTAATGGCTGCCAATCTTACTGGAGTGAGATGGTATCTTAGGGTAGTTTTGATTTGCATTTCTCTGACTGCTAGAGATGGTGAGCATTTTTTCATGTACTTAGAGGCCGATTTTTGTGAGGCCAATATTCTTGGGGGTTTTTGCAATCAAGCTTTGGATTTGGAACTGACCGCACCCCGCCCCCCCTTTAAAAATGTCACTCATTATTATCCCCATTGTTCAGAACAAACCCTTAGCACAGTGAGCCAGCCTTAGGTGCTTTTGTGCCAGCCTAGATCCCATTCTGTTGATGGTAATGGTAACATAAATTGCAGAGAAATTTACAAACCAGTTCCTCATGCAGCCTCTTTTCTCCTCAGATCCTCAAAGCCATTCCTGAAGTATGATTTCCAAAGGAAACTGAGGGTYAGAAAGGTCCAGTGACTCAGCTGATGTCATACAGCAAATCAGTGGGGGCAAGATAGAAACTGGGTCCTTCCTTGAGTCTATGTTCCATGCCTTACAGAAAATGGCTTCCTGAGCTACCACTGTGTGGTGCTCCAGAGGACAGCTAATCTCTGTCTCAATAAAGCCTCACACCTTCTTATAAAACAGGTATTGTCATCACTCAAAGCTCAGCAAGGTTAAAACATATGCCCAAAGTCACACAGCTAACCACAGGCAAAGCCTGATTTAAACCCAGGATCCAAAGGCCTATGTTTTCATAATCTTCTTCTAGTGTCCCTAGAAAGGAAAGAAATGCACCCAGTGCAGAGGTCAGGCATTTAGAAAGCATCACCAGAGACGATTATGATTTGAAAATCTGCTTTTACAGGAATGTTTTCTAGTTACAAAGCCACTGGTAAGACTAAAAACTGGGCTGAGTGACAGGACCTGGCATGTGCCTGGCTTATCACATAAGCAGGGCACTTGCTTATAAAACGGCTCAGAAGTTAATATTTGCAGAATCCCTGAGTTCTCCAGGCCAAAGCACATACTCTTGGGAAATCCTAGACCTCAGTGCCAGGACCAGGCCTGTCAGGCTGGGAAACGGAAGGGCCTGAGGGAACTGAAGACACTAGAGACAGGTGACTTGACTAAGGACAGTACAGAGAGCTGGAACAGACTTGGCCACTGAGCCCTGGTCCTCATGTCATGGTGGTGTCCTCTGAGAGCTCACCTGACAGCCCGGCAGTCTCAGTGCATCCTGTCTCCCAGGCAGGTTGTGCCAGTGCCTCCATTAGGGTTCCACCGCAGAAAGGAAGCATAAACTTTAATTTTTCCAAATTCTTATTGCACATCCTAAAATGCATGACTTTTAAGTACACCAAGTTTTAACAAATGAACACACCTGTGCAACTCATTTGTGCTGACCACAATTATTCTATGGAACATTTTCACCACCCCGAAGGATCCCTGGTCCTCTTTGTGATCAATCAACCTTTCCCATCTCCACCAGCCCCAGCTTTCTGTCAATTCCCTGCTTTCCGTCACTATAGATTAGTTTTGCTGTTGTAGACGTTCGTGTAAATGGAATCAAAGCTTTTCGTGCGTGGATTCTTTGGCTCAACGTGACACTTTTGAGGTTTGTCCATGTTGCACATATCAATTCCTCTTTCCTCTTTATTCCTATTCCGTTAGATGGATGTACCTCAATTTGTGCCTTCACTTCCCATGTGGGTTATCTCCAGTTTTAGGCTGCTCTCAATAAAGCTGGTATACACACCCATGTGCACCTCTTTCATGGACAGATGTTTTAATTTCTCTGACAGAATTGTCTAGGGCTGGGTGGCTGGATCAGATGTAGGAATATGTT